GGAAAGGGGGCATGTCACAAAAGGGGGGGGGGGGTAAGTCATCCGAAAACCACAGCATACCTTCAGATGCCTACTGGAGTCCATGTCTGAACGGGTCAGGAAAGGGGGACTTACTCAATATTGCAATATTGGGGGTTCATCCAGATACCACGGCATACCTTTAGATGCCTAGTGGAATCCATGCCTGGACGGTTCAGGAAAAAGGGGGATCTATTCAATATTTGGGGGAGGGGTTAGTCGGTCCAAGCTGTTGAACATGATGAGCAGACGTTTCTCCCGCTCCTCCAGGTATCGGGTGAACTCCTCGAAGTCGAGGCGGCCATCCTGGTCCGTGTCTCCGGCCCGCAGTATCCCCTGAGCAGAGAGAAGAGGAGGATGAAGATGATGAGTGGAGGTGACCTATAACCATCCACTATATATATATATATATTCCTGACATCCAGATGGACTGAAAATACAGCAGGGAAGAGTCCAGGGATTCATGTCAAACACAGGAACATTACATTTACTGAGCATGCAGCGGGCGTCAGTGAGTGGGAGGAGCTTATTATCCTGAACCCCTCCCCCTTAGACCAGAGCCTGCATTACCACTGTGCAGCCAGGCAGCCTATTACGGGGGCAGCCAAACTCCGGCCCTCCAGCTGTGGTGGAACTACAAGTCCCATGAAGCATTGCAAGACTCAGACATGACTCCCGGAGACAGAGGCATGGTGGGATTTGTAGCGACATCACAGCTGGAGGGCCAGAGTTTGACTTCCCCTGGCCTTCAGCTTTATACGTGCCCCTGGGTTGGTCATTAGGAGACCCCTCCTCTATAGAGGTGAGGTGCAGCTCTGGGAAGGGGAGCTGTGTGGACTCGACGGCAATGTTCCGGTCTTATCGATTGGCCCAATGTCCATAATCTTATCAATACTCCGTGTGTACACATCATATCTGTCAGTATACACGCCTGCAGCCGGCTGTATAGAATCATTACACACGCCGGCTCTCTGTGCTGCACGGGGGGATGGGCGACTCACTGAAAACAATGCCCCCCCTGTGAGCCTGAGGTCTCATGTCCATAGCTGCCCCCTGGCTCCTCCCCTTCCCCCTCCCATCAACATGATAATGAAGTTAGGGAGCCGCTGAGAGCTCCCCCTGGTGGTAACTCTATGAAGTGTTCTATGTGATACAGTATGGGGGAGGAGCCGTGTGCACGCTATCAGTGGTGAGTATCACCCCGTCCCCTATACACCCCGTTATATATCAGTGCCAGGTATCCCCCCGTCCCCATACACCCCGTTATATATCAGTGCCGAGTATCCCCCCGTCCCCATACACCCCATTATATATCAGTGCCGAGTATCCCCCAGCCCCCTATACACCCCGTTATATATCAGTGCCAAGTATCCCCCCGTCCCCATACACCCCGTTATATATCAGTGCCGAGTATCCCCCCGCCCCCTATACACCCCGTTATATATCAGTGCCAAGTATCCCCCGTCCCTTATACACCCCGTTATATATCAGTGCCGAGTATCCCCCGTCCCTTATACACCCCGTTATATATCAGTGCGAGTATCACCCCGTCCCCTATATACATGATATCAGTGCTGGAAGTACCTGCTTGGCGTAATGACAGGTCCTCACACCCCCCCCGTATACAGTGTGTCAGTGTATGGTGTCAGTGTATGGTGTCAGTCAGTGTATGGTGTCAGTGTATGGGGTCAGTCAGTGTATGGTGTCAGTCAGTGTATGGTGTCAGTGTATGATGTCAGTGTATGGTGTCAGTCAGTGTATGGTGTCAGTCAGTGTATGGTGTCAGTGTATGGTGTCAGTGTATGGTGTCAGTGTATGGTGTCAGTGTATGGGGTCAGTCAGTGTATGATGTCAGTGCTGGGAGTACCTGCTCGTCGTTGTGACAGCTCCTCACCCCCAGGGCCTCCAGCCCTGCCCTCAGCTCGCTGATGTCCACATGTCCGTCCATATTGGAGTCCAGCTGCCGGAAGAGCTTGGCATACCTCCGCTCGGTGTCGGGGTCCCTGGGACCCTCCATGCTGGAGAAGATGGTGGGAGCCCTGTGGCCCCCGGGGACCCCTCCTCCCGCAGCCCCTGCTCTGCACGCTTAGCTGTAGCTCTGCCTGCTCTCAGTCTATGTGTGTGTGTGTGTGTGTGTGTCGGGCCCGGCCGCACTGAATGTGGCGGAGCTGTGTGTGCGCCGAGTACCGCCCGCCCGCCCGCATTGCGGGAGCTCTCCAGCTGCTGAGCTCTGCCCAGGCAGTCTCACTCCCGGCGCTGCACTGCGACCCCCCCATCCTACAGAGAGGTATGGGAGCCCCGCCAATGTCTGCGGGGTACACCGATCATTCATTACACGTCTAGGCGGAGAATGACTGCAAGGGACTACAAGACCCAGCATGCCCGACCTGACTCACGGAACACCGATCACTACTACTCCCAATTCTCGTCTTTTATGTTATCAAACATTCCCATTTCTTCCATATTTCCGTCTCATCACTTTATATTCTTTCACCGAACTTTCTATTCGCAGTTTTATTTTCTTTCCAGAAAAATATAAAGTTATATTAAAAAAAAAAAGGGCATAAAAATGTGTTGTAAAAAAAAAATATATAACATTAAAATAATATACAATAATTTGCAAGATTCTCACAGCCACGACTCCCGGAGAGAGATGCATGATGGGATTTGTAGTTTCACCACAGCTTAAGGGCCGCAGTTTGGACATCCCTGATCTAGATGAAGACGTGCGTTTACAGTACTGCCGTATATCCTCCCACAGCCACTGACTTCTATGGGCGGCTGTACACAGCACCTGCGGCTCCCACACGGGTAAATGCGGACGGATTTTACGTTGGCGCCTGCGTGCGATTCGGCCTCATTCTCGCTGGCGGCATCCAACCTGTGCGTTGTTTAACCTGTTCGCTGCCACAGACGTCATTACTACACCTCTCCCTCAGCCCCCTGTCGCTCTCTAAATGAACGGCGAGTCAGGTGAACGCGCGGCGTGAATTATACCATCGAAGACCAGAATGGGGGGAATTTATTAATATTGGAGCAGCTGTGCATGGCAACCAATCAGCTTCTCTCTTTCATTTTCAAATCTTAACTGAACAAACTGAAGAGAGAAGCTGATTGGTTGCCATGGGTGACCGCCGCAGACTCTGCTCCAGTTCTGATACATTCCCCCCAATGTGTTTACATATTTAGAGACGTTCAAAAAAACGCACGCATGTCACTGCGCCTGATCGCTGAAGTCCTTGGCCTGGTGGTGACAAGCAGAGACGTGACCTTGGTTGTGTTGGCGAGGTTTGTATGGCAGCCAAGGAGTCTGGAAAGCTCTCGCTGTGTGCCCTGCGGATAGGAGGAGGGCGTACAATACCTCCATTGTCACTCATAGGACAGTCATGGAGGCTTCTGGGCCAGAGGAGCCGATAGAACTCACTGTCACCGGAGGTCGTGTGGAGGGGTCTCCTACTGAACAACGCAAGGGCACATAGAAAGCTGAAGTTTGATCTGCTTATACACTATATTGCCAAAAGTATTGGGACGCCCCTCCAAATCATTGGGTTCAGGTGTTCCGTGACATTTCCTGGCTACTAAATATTCCGCGGTCACCTGTTACTGGGATTGTAACAAAGTGTACGCAACTGGGAACAACAGCAACTCAGCCACGAAGTGGTAGGCCACGTCACATGACAGAGCGGGGTCAGCGCATGCTGAAGCGCACAGGGTACAGAAGTCGCCAACTGTCTGCAGAGTCAATAGCTACAGACCTCCAAACTTCATGTGGCCTTCAGATTGGCACAACAACAGTGCATAGAGATCTTCATGGAATGGGTTTCCATGGCCGAGCAGCTGCATCCAAACCTTACATCACCAAGTGCAATGCAAAGCGTGGGATGCCGTGGTGTAAAGCACACCGCCACTGGACTCTAGAGAAGGGGAGGCGACCAATCACGCTTCTCTGTCTGGCAATCCGATGGGCGTGTCTGGGTTTGGCGGTTGCCAGGGGAACGGTACTTGCCTGACTGCATTGTGCCAAGTGTAAAGTTTGGTGGAGGGGGATTATGGGGGGGGGTTGGCCCCTTAGTTCCAGTGACGGGAACTCTTAAGACATCAGCACACCAAGACATTTTGGACAATTTCATGTTACCAACTTTGTGGGAGGAGTTTGGGGATGGCCCCTTCCTGTTCCAACATGACGGCACACCGGTGCACAAAGCAAGGTCCATAAAGACGTGGATGGGGGAGTTTGGGGTGGAGGAACGTGACTGGCCGCACAGAGTCCTGACCTCAACCCCATAGAACACCTTTGGGATGAATGAGAGCGGAGACTGCGAGCCCGGCCTTCTCGTCCAACATCAGTACCTGACCTCACAAATGGTCCAACATTCCCATAGACACACTCCTAAACCTTGTGGATGCCTTCCCAGAAGAGTTGAAGCTTTTTATAGCGGCAAAGGGCGGAGCCAACCCAATACTGAACCCTACGGACTAAGACTGGGATGCCATTAGAGTTCATGTGCGTGTAAAGGCCGGCGTCCCAATACTTTTGGCAATATAGTGTATATATCTGCTGACCTGCGTATACACAGTATATATGTCCACAACCTCTGATCAGTTTTATGCAGTATTTCCACAATCTCTGACTCTCTCCTGTAACATGTCCACGGTTTATGACCATCTCCCAAATATAGTAAAGTTAAAGCGCTGTGCACGGATCCTGATGATTAAGTATTTATAAAACAACTAGGGGTGCTGCCCCACTTCAGCCGGGAGAAACTATAAAACTGGAATACAAAAAAGGACAGAAGGGCGCCCAACCTAGTGCAGATTATTTTTTATTGTAAAAGACACAAAGATAAAATTGCAATGGTACTCACAATGGAGGGTCATAAAACAGCTTGTGTGGATGTTTTGGAAGAAACAGCAGTTGAGACTGCAATCTGCCTGTGTGCCACTATAGTGTGGCGGCGTTGACGCGTTTCCGGGGTCAAGCCCCCTTCCTCAGTCCATGATCATCTCCTCTAATAATTCTACAGTGTCTGACCATCTATTGTAATAAATCTACATATCAGTACCTGACCTCACAAATGGTCCAACATTCCCATAGACACACTCCTAAACCTTGTGGATGCCTTCCCAGAAGAGTTGAAGCTTTTTATAGCGGCAAAGGGCGGAGCCAACCCAATACTGAACCCTACGGACTAAGACTGGGATGCCATTAGAGTTCATGTGCGTGTAAAGGCCGGCGTCCCAATACTTTTGGCAATATAGTGTATATATCTGCTGACCTGCGTATACACAGTATATATGTCCACAACCTCTGATCAGTTTTATGCAGTATTTCCACAATCTCTGACTCTCTCCTGTAACATGTCCACGGTTTATGACCATCTCCCAAATATAGTAAAGTTAAAGCGCTGTGCACGGATCCTGATGATTAAGTATTTATAAAACAACTAGGGGTGCTGCCCCACTTCAGCCGGGAGAAACTATAAAACTGGAATACAAAAAAGGACAGAAGGGCGCCCAACCTAGTGCAGATTATTTTTTATTGTAAAAGACACAAAGATAAAATTGCAATGGTACTCACAATGGAGGGTCATAAAACAGCTTGTGTGGATGTTTTGGAAGAAACAGCAGTTGAGACTGCAATCTGCCTGTGTGCCACTATAGTGTGGCGGCGTTGACGCGTTTCCGGGGTCAAGCCCCCTTCCTCAGTCCATGATCATCTCCTCTAATAATTCTACAGTGTCTGACCATCTATTGTAATAAATCTACAGTGTCTGACCTTCTCCTGTAATATCTATATATGGTGAGTGCCCATTACTGTTTGGCCCCTTAGTCCTAGATGGTAGGTGGGTGGCCATCACTGCTTGACTCTCAGTGCTAGGTGGGTGGCCAACACTGCTTGGCCCTCAGTCCTGAGTGTGTAGCCATCACTATTTGGTACTCAGTCCAGCTCGGGAGGTGGTTGGCCATTGCTGTTTGGCCATCAGCTCTGGATGGTAGGCGAGTGACCAACGCTGCTTGGCTCTCAGTCCTGGGTGGGTGGCCATCAATGCTTGGCCCTCAGTCCCGAATGGGAGGAGGATGGCCATCGCTGCTTGGCCTTCAGCCCGAGTATGTAGTCATCACTGCTTGGCCCTCAGTCCTCTGTGTGTGGCCATCACAGAGTGGCCTTCAGTCCTGAGTGTGTGGCCATCACTGCTTGCCCTCAGTCCTAAATGGGAGGAGGATGAACATCACTCTTTGGCCCTCAATTCTGGATAGGGGGCAAGTGGCCATCACTGCTTGGTCCTCAGTCCTGAACGGGAGGAGGATGGCCATCGCTGCTTGGCCATCAGTCCTGGATGGGCAGCCATCACTGCTTGCCTCTCAATTCTGGATGGGGGGCACGTGACCACAACTGCTTGGCCCTCGATCCGAGATGGGGATGGGTGGCCATCACTGTTTGTTTGCCAGTCCTCCAGGGGGTTGTGGGAGTGACAGCTGTCATTCCTGACCTTATGCCCTCAGATCTGCTCAGTGAAGTGTATAAAATAGACGGACAATGAGGTCCATGGATGAGGCAATGAAGCTCCAATTACAGCACTGACCTGTGCAGTGTGTGGACCTGGCTGTAATGGAACACAGCATGCCATGGGGCACAGAATTACATAGACTCTCAAATAAAAAGAAGGAAAAAGGCCAGCACAGCAATAGTATGCCAACGCATTGCAGCGCACACATATTACGCTCGCTGTGCAGTGTGAACGAGCCCCTAACCCCGCACCGTCCGTCCTCGCTGTGACGCATCTTTATATAAATATGGAAATGGAAGGCGAGAGGATACGAGTGATTACTGCACATTCTTATTTGTAAACCATATTCAGTCCTCTATACTCCAACTTAATCCAGTTAACACCGGCGCTGACTACTCAGATCCCCTCTGATCCCTCCCCATACCAAACCAGCCTCACATTAATCCCAGCCTCAAGTCCATCCTTTGTGAATGAAATCCAAGCACAGGCAGAGCCTCCCATGCCCGGAGGGGGGAGATTTGTTCCAACGTAACCCTCCCACTTTACTCTGCCAGCTCCAGGAATCTGTGACCGTCAGATCAACCGCACACATACAACTTCCTCATGGCCTGTGATTGGCTGAGGCTTATGTAAATCAGGTTGTCTATATATAAATATATATATACACCGTATCAGCTGTCTGCTGGCATGATATATATGACAGTCCCCCAGGACACACGTGTTGTGTATTTAGCAATCTCCTTAGCCATATGGACCCGTGACAGGTACTCGCTGGCGGCTGCGATGAGGAATGGGGACATCTGCGTCTTCCTTCCTGTATAGAGGGTCCGGATGTCATTATACTGATAGCATTCCATGCAATGCAAATGAAGATCTAATAAGATTCCGGCGTATAATTATGTGAGCGGGACCATTGGTAGAAGATCGCTAACTAGTCCCTATAGGAGAGAAATAAAAACTCATGAGTACATTGTATCACGTGTAATACCTCTTTAATTAAAGGGCCAGTCCACCCCAAAGTGATGCCGCAGTTACCTGTGGATTCTGAGCGCGCTTTTTGTGCTATTTGTATTCAATCAACAGAATATGTGAACACTCATAAAGTGCAGCTGTGATATACACTATATTACCAAAAGTATTGGGACGCCTTTACACGCACGTGAACTTTAATGGCATCCCAGTCTTACTCTGTAGGGTTCAGTATTAGGTTGGCTCCGCCCTTTGCCGCTATAACAGCTTCAACTCTTCTGGGAAGGCGTCCACAAGGTTTAGGAGTGTGTCTATGGGAATGTTGGACCATTTGTGAGGTCAGGTACTGATGTTGGAGGAGAAGGCCGGGCTCGCAGTCTCCGCTCTAATTCATCCCAAAGGTGTTCTATGGGGTTGAGGTCAGGACTCTGTGCAGGTCAGTCAAGTTCCTCCACCCCAAACTCCCCCATCCATGTCTTTATGGACCTTGCTTTGTGCACTGGTGCGCAGTCATGTTGGAACAGGAAGGGGCCATCCCCAAACTCCTCCCACAAAGTTGGGAGCATGAAATTGTCCAAAAAGTCTATGTATGCTGATGCCTTAAGAGTTCCCGTCACTGGAACTAAGGGGCGGAGCCCAACCCCTGAGAAACCACACCACACCATAATCCCCCCTCCCCCAAACTTTACACTTTGCACAATGCAGTCAGGCAAGTACCGCTCTCCTGGCAACCGCCAAACCCAGGCACGCCCATCGGATTGCCAGACAGAGAAGCGTGATTGGTCGCTCCAGAGAACACGTCTCCACTTCTCTAGAGTCCAGTGGCGGCGTGCTTTACACCACGGCATCCCACGCTTTGCATTGCACTTGGTGATGTACGGCTTGGATGCAGCTGCTCGGCCATGGAAACCCATTCCATGAAGCTCTCTACGCACTGTTGTTGTGCCAATCTGAAGGCCACATGAAGTTTGGAGGTCTGTAGCCGATGACTCTGCAGACAGTTGGCGACTTCTGCGCACTGTGCGCTCCAGCATGCGCTGACCCCGCTCTGTCATTTTACGTGGCCTACCACTTCCTGGCTGAGTTGCTGTTGTTCCCAGTTGCTTTCACTTTGTTATAATCCCAGTAACAGGTGACCGCGGAATATTTAGTAGCCAGGAAATGTCACGGAACACCTGAACCCAATGATTTGGAGGGGCGTCCCAATACTTTTGGCAATATAGTGTATAAGCAGATCAAACTTCAGCTTTCTATGTGCCCTTGCGTTGTTCAGTAGGAGACCCCTCCACACGTCCCAATGCTTTTGGCAATATAGTGTATATCTATAGATATATATGTATAAAGATATTGTATATATTAGTCGAGATGCACCGCTACCGGTTTTTCGGTACTCGGCGATACCAAATACCGATACCGGAAGTCCCATTCATGAAGCCGGGCAGCATGTAATGACTTGCCACTCGGCTTCCTGATTAGCTGGGAAGCTGGCCCCATGCTCCTTGGTGATGAGGAGGCAGCCGGCTAGACATGTGCAGCCGCAAAAAAATTGTTTCGGATTTCCGAAATCGGGTCCTGTATGTGTTTCGGATTCGTAATTCGGACGAATTGCCGAAATTTGGGATTTTGCGCGAACTGACGAATGTTCGTACGCACGTACGTAGCAGAATTGGCACAGTTGACATTTCTGGTTGCTGCGCTCTAGTCTTCACTATTAAAGGGACATTGAAATCCTTTTCTTACTTTTTTTTTTATCCGTTGAAACGTTGACGGTGCGCGCCCAGGAACATGAAGTCACGTTTTGTTTTTTATCTTCACATGCTATGAAATCCTCTTTTTGAAGTAATTATCGTAAATTTCTAATTTACTTTCCGTTAGGACGAAATTCGTACTGAATCTGAAATTCCGAATCAGAAATTTTGGATTCGGATGCTCCGAATCCACGAATTTCCGAAATTTCGTCCGAATTTCGATTGGAAACGAATCGCACATGTCTACAGCCGGCTTTCTGGCCTCCTGATAACAGAAGTCCCGGTATCATCGGGATCATTCGGGCCTATCTGCACCTATACTGATCCTAGTATCGGTGCACTCCCTTATATAAATCACCGCGGAAGCACGGAATAAACCATTACAGCGCTGATTAAAGTTGAATTTCCGGAGGACATGAGAAGCGCCATTTAATCCAGTTTTGTATTCATTCAAAGACCCTGAGCTGTGTTCTCACACGGAGCGGAGATCAATCCTCATCTGTGAGGTCTGCCGTCCATATCCGAGGATCTGCCGCACATCCCGACATGAGGGGCTTCTTCTGCTTCACATCCTCCGTTCCGGGTGCAAAGCTTTGTGACAGGTTCTCTTTAATGAGATCAGACCTCACTTTAGTGTCCAGGTCCTCTGCTTAACTCTTTTTTCGGGGCCTTCTCTCTTTTATTTCCACCAGGCAATCCTGCCAGTAACACACTTCCTGTCTGAGGATGACAACGCATACGGGTGAAATGGAATCGCCCGCACTCACAGGATGCAAAGTTCTTGTTCATTTTTATTGAACGCGCGTCACATGCGTCAATCGTCATTGTTAAAGCCCGATGAAGGGACCCTGCGAGGTCCTGAAAGCGCTGGTTCCCATTCTTGACAATTTGTGATTCTGGAAGGATCTATGGTGTACTGGTGATATTCTTTAAAAATCAAACCAACGTTTCGGGGGCCACGCGGGGTCCCTTCCCCATGGGCGATATAGGATGACAACACTTGCTCACTGTATTAATGGAGGAGCAACATTGTCACTCATGGATAAAAAAAGCATTAGGACTACAGAACACCTCGCCCTCTTCTCACCCCCACGGCATGGAGGGCTGTGTTCTGTAGTCCACAGAGAGGGAGGTTGGACCAACCTAAAGGTATTTTTAAAGAGACCCTGTCACTGTGTCTAAGAAAATCCTATCTAAGGTTCCATGTGATGGAAGAGCTATTATACTCATCCTCTCCGGCGGCCCGTGCCTCCTTCCTTCCCTGCATTCCAGCTCTGCAGTCCGGCATGTGGCACTGCTGGGATTTTCAGAGGCCTGCGTATCCCCTGTGGCCCTAACTCCTTCCTCTGATCCCGCGTCATCACAGGACACAACAGTGAAGTAAGGATCAGATGACAGAGCCATGGAGGGGCACGGGCATCCAGCCCTCATGGAAGTTTTGAACAGGAAGTGTTCAGAGCTTCAGATTCAGGCAGGACCAACAGGTACAATGCGTGGTGCTGGATTAGAGCAGAGCTCCGGGGGAAAAAAAAAAAAAGATGGCCCTTGCAGTGCGGCTCTCCCCTGACGTCAAAGTAGCAGGAAAAGGGACTTGTACTTACCTGATCCCTCTCTTCACAGGCTCCCTCCACCCTGTGTGACTGGACCCCAAACCCGCTTCCCTAAAGTGCTCCCGGCCCAACTCTGATGTCGCCAACAGGACTAATAGTCCTGCATGGTAAGTGAGGCCGGCGAGGGGCCCGCCCATAACCCGGACCGCCAGAGAGAAGAAGGGCAGAGCGCGGGGTGGTAGGAGAGAGATGGATGAGGTAAGTAAAAGTCTCTTTCCCTGGTCTTCACAGGCAAAGATGAACATGTACCCCTTGCACTGTGGGGGAGGGGGGCACTTAAAGGGGATTTTCCTTCAAGGCGGCCCATTCATTTTGTATGGTAATGGCGGCACACCTTAAAGTGGAATTCACCTTTTCAGGTCCTCCAGGAGCTTTTATTAACTTTGCACAGCCTATAGGTACATTGTGACTCCGGCACCGTGTCCCCCTTCAACGCTGCGACGTCCGCCATCTTCCTCGTCGCTGGTGCTTCCATCCCCTCCCCCTCTTACGGGAGTCATGGTAACAGGACTATCTGAATGGGCTTTGCATTGATGGGCAAACGCGGCTTTCATGTGCGTTCTGTACACTATTCTGAGATCATTTATATTCACTTAAAGATGCCTCTGACCTGCACCCTGACCTCCTTCTAAGGTGCATCAAGCTGCTTTTGCATTCCCATTGACTTGTATGAAAAAACATTCTGATGCAAACAAAACCCCTTCCATAAAAAACTTTAAAAACTGTCAATAAACATATAAAATAGACAATATTTGTATATATCAGACGCTGCTTGCTGCTAATGTCACCTCACACCACCCCAGCTACACTGCCGCATAGGTGATTAGAAAAGACGTCAATCCGTACAGGAGAACTGACAGGCTCTCATAATCCGTACAGGAAATGACGTCATTCCGTACAGGTGAACTGCCAGGCTCTCGCTCTCCGTACAAGGTGAAGTGCGAGGCTCACGGTTTCCGTACAGCTACACCCTCGGAAAAAAGGCGTAATTTCGTACAGGTGGGCTGAGAGAGGCTCTCGTTGCCCGAACAGGTGCGCATCCGGAAATGACGTCCTTTCCGTACAGGTGTGCTTCCGGAAGTGCATTTTTGTCCTCAGGTGGCTCCGGATGTGACGACGGGTGTCTCCAGGGAGTTCCCGGAAGCGTTACACAGGTGTAAGGGCCGGGGGTCACGTGAGCAGCCGTGTGGGCGGAGCCGGCGAGTTTCGGGCAGGTGAGGAGGTGTCTGGGAATCGATACATTGATGGGCTGCGGTGATCTGTGACAGGTGAGCGCAGGGGGGATGCCGACACCGGTGCAGCTGGGAAGGGGGGGGGCACTACATGACGAGACACAGACCGGGCATTACATGACGAGACACAGACCGTCCATACACCTGGCTGCCCACACTGACACTGACGGGAATGGGGACACCTGTGTGGGGGAAGGGGAGCAGAGCCTGTGCTGGGCCATCACCTACAATGTTTGCCATACACCCCCAGATCTGATATGTCATACATTGGTGTCCGTCATGACAGTTTCTATAGAACTAAGATCAGAGGTGGGTGCTGTGGCCCTCCAGCTGTTGTGGAACTACAAGTCCCATGAGGCATTGCAAGACTCTGACAGACGCTGACATGATTCCCAGATAAGGGGGCATCATGGGATTTGTAGTTTTTACCACGGCTGGCGTTTGCCCACCTCTGATCGTGATGGGGGAGAACATTCTTGTTATGAACATTTGGATGGTGTCGGGTACAGAGCTGACTGATAAATCTCAATTATTTATTGAATCTTTCCCAACAAAACGTGGATTGTGATGCGTCATGTAATCGTTTCGGACGTCAGTTTAGTGATCTGATTGGTTGAATAATCGGTGTGTGTGTGTGTGGCCAATGGCTTACCTCATACAGGTTCTCCGGCTGATGTGACATCCCCCTTCGAACGGCTGGCGATCTTTTATATTGCAGAGAGCGGCACAGACCTCAACGCCACTTTCCACGGTACTATACCCCGAGCCCTGGTGATGGGGTGACACCCCCCCCCCCCAGGGGGCGGGTCCATGACAGCCTGGGCCCACCAGGAAGTTGGTTGCATGACGACGGCTCGCTCGTCCAGACTCTGGCGCATTGTGTTGATGCACTTTTTATTTTTTGTGCCGTTGCCCTGAGGCACGGCCGTCCCCCATGAATTGGCCACCAATGTACCAAAAGCTGATCTGAGAAGGAGCTCGGCAATGGTGACTCCCGTACACTACAAGGTCCTCCATTCTTAAATGTCTTGGAGTTTGTTGACCGGCCATATTTCTTCCTTCTTCTTATGTGACCTGTTTTCTGGGCTTAGTCTTAATATCCAATATTTTG